ATATGGTTCATGGGGTCACGAAGAGTCGGACACGACTTAACGACTGAACAACAACAAGAAGGTTTGAAAAAATATTTGAGATTGGGGAAAGAAAGTCTGCATGGAGATTCAATCCTATGACAACAATTTGATGAACTAAAGATTAAGATTGTTAGAAGCAAAAGAAAGGAATTTAAAGTTAGTTTGTTTGATCAGGGTTAAAATATGGAATATTTTTATAAAATTCTAGAAATCCTCTATGGACTTTTTGCCAACATTTGGACAGAAATGGCAATTATTTTTGTATCTGTGAATGGATAGGTGAGGTATGGGAAGCAGTGAACCCTGTATAGTATGTAATCTCATAGGGGGTGGGGAACAATTACATTGCATGTGCTTGTTGCAAGGAAGATCAGGAGCCGCTTCTTTAAATATTCTTTTTTTCTATCTCTTTTCTATCTCTTTTTTCTTTTTCTTTTTGGCCCTTTATATTTCATTTTTTTTCTCTTTTGTCTTTTTTTTCTAATTTCAGTTTGTATTATCTTTTAGTATTGTAAAACACCTTAATAAAATGTTTTTTTTTTAATTAGACTAGGAATATATACAAAGTAGGTAAAGTTTCATTTCAGTTTCAGAACAAAGCAGCCCCAGTGTTCTGGCCATAGAAGTAAATTTAAAGTTGGAACACACCTGTTCTTTTCTTATTATTCATTCTAGGGCATTTATTTGCATTTTGGTAAATGAATTCCTTTTTCAAGGGCATTTTTGTAATGTCCATGATCATAAGCCAAATAAAACCTTTTTTTCACTGACACTTGGGATCCCTCCCTCTCTCCTGTATTCACCTTAGAGTCACAAAAATATATCGGATGATATTCCATGTTGACTGCTACATTCCATCCTACAGAAAACTTAGCTGAATGAATGAATGAATGAATGAATGAATGAATATATGAAAATATAAAATGTCTCCCAACCAAACAATTGTTTTCAATGTTTCCTTTGAAAATTATTGAAAATTATTGTTTTGTGTGTGTGTGTGTGTACATATATATATATATCCTCCCCAATAGTGTTTTGAAAACACTAGTCTAGGAATATAGGTACCAAGACTCAACAAACCACCCAGACCATCCTTACATGGCATTATTTACATTTATCACTTGCAATCTCAGCAGTATCAACAGTTGATTATGGCAATGCCAAGCAATCCTGGGCAGCAACATCTGTGGTGGGGGCTCAAAATGGGCAAGATGGCAGATGTGGTCTCATGATCCAAGCCCCAGTCCTTTTCTACATGCATTGAAATTGTATGCACATACAGAATGTGTGGGGCTTGGACTCCAATGCTGTGTCCACCATCTTGCCCAGTTTGATGCCTCCTGAGGATGTGGCTGATCCTGGGCTTCTCTATCCAGCAGAAGAATTATGTACTTAAGTAACTGCTGCTTTACCTGTTGTGAGAAAAAAAGCTCACTTAAACACAGAACCAAAGTGTTTATAGATAGATGCAACAAAATATCCTTTATTGGCATGCACAACTATAGTGATCACTGGGCTCCTGGCCAAAAGAATGCAAAAGAGCTCCCAACTCAGCAAAATTGTGGGTTAGATACCTCCAGAAAGGTTGCATAGGAATGATAAAGAAAGCAATGTCAGTAATTCGGTGACCTTTACAGGCAGAATGTAACATCTGATAATGCTATAGGATGACCTTGCCATGACTATCCTAGCACCTCTGCATTTTTGTCTATAAATGGGTCTCTAACCCACCTGAATTTCAGATATCATGCATCATAAGCAATGGCATTTATTGTGCCCATATACTGCTTCCCTTCACATCAAAAGAAAAACAACAATCTGGTTTCTGTTATTTGTCTCCTCTTCCTCCAGGATCTTCAGGTAGCTTTGCTTTGCTTGCTCCTTGTATTTTTGTGCCCTTCCTCATGCTTCTTCCACATACAGGCCATGCTACACGACAACCCTCCACATACCCCAGCACTCTATGTCCTAACCAGTTTGTCTAATTTAAGCCAAGACCAGCAGTCTTTGCAGCTGTCCTGGCTAAGTTAGACTTTTTGAAAAACCTAATTGTGAGCCTCAGAACAAATGTTTGGAATAGCCCATTACTTCCCAAACAATGACACTCAAATGTGCCAGGTTTGTTCCAAATTAAGCAGTTGAAACAGCTATTTTAAGCTTACAATTCTTTGCGCAAACTTTATTCAACAAAGTATGGCCCTTGCAAGAGTTGAAACTATTAGTTAAATGAATAATGCCTATCACAAAGTAAGCATAACATAACTTTATAACTGCTATGAATATTTATTGAAATTAGGTCCCATTGAATCAATGAGATTTGCTCTTTAGGATTGATAGGTATTATCTATGAATTTCATTAGCAAGCATGCAGCCATCATTTCTGGTCCACCTTTAATTTTACATTCCTAGCTAAAGAGTAATAGCAGGTAGGCAGTCCTGATATAGCATTATCTTTCTCATTTCTCCTTTAAGACTACACAGTGCCATAGTACCTTTTGCTAAGATAGGCAGGCTTGTGGTTATTGAAAGCATTTAAAGGAAAACATCCTCAAACAAGCCATTCATGGACTGAATATAGATTGGCTTCACACATCCTGCTAAGCTGTGATTTGTATAGCTAAGATTTACTGAACAAAACCACAGTTGGCTTGATTCCTGCAATACACTAAACCATATTTTACAGATAACAATGGCTTAGTTTATACAGCCCAAACCAAACAAAACCTACATGAAGTGTGTGAACTCAGCTATAACATCTTGTTGGTCTTTCCAAACTATCCCTACCTATATTGGTTTAACAGTGGAAATACAGACAAAGCAGAAGCAAGATATATACTCACCAATATCTATTAATTTGTCTTGAGTCCATTGGTGCCAGAATTCTTCTGAACTGTTAACTCTATTCCAAATATACAACAAATTGACTGAAAATATGCTACTCCAAATACCTAAGGGGGAAGACAGTGATATTTTTAGAGGCAACCTAAAAGCAAATCAGTTGAGAATTGTCCTGCCATTCACCTGAGCCAGATGATCTCCCCTCATGTGTTAGTTTTAGTTACATTACTTTTCCTCTAGGAGCTCAAAGCATTATATATAGCCATCTCTCCTGCATTTTTTCACCCATAGCAACAATCCTGGAGACATAGTGATGGGCCCAAAGCTACTAAGTGGTCTTTCATGACTGAGGCTGGACTTGAACTTGGGTCCTCCCTAGTTTCTCATTCCTGACTTCTCCATAACAGAGAGTATAGAGAGGTTGTCTAAATCTCTGTTTGGAATGCCTGTATGGATATTGGGTATTTAAACGAATGTAAACAGAGCGAATGAATCAAGCTAGAGGCTACTGCAAATATCTGAATGAGAACTTCTTATTACACTCTGAATGGAAGTAGAAGGACACTCATACTAAGTCTATAATGAATGTTTGACATACTAGGTTTGGGTATCCATATACACATGTGTGGAAGAGCAGGCTGTTGAGGAATAATTGCAGATACCCATGCTGCCTCCCTCCCTTCCTGTATGAGCCTTCTCATCAGCATGACAGAGTTGCTTATAAAAGCTGCAACCTTGAAACAGGTCGGGGAGGAGATGTGCATGTTTTGGAAGCTCTGCAGCCAAATAAAAGATGGTGTTTTTCTTCACAGAGACTGAAGGGTTCAGAGGGAAAAGAAGAAGCACAACTAAGCCAAGCCCAATGTTGGGAAGGTGCAAGTGCTTTACATACATCCCATTAATAAAGAAGAAAAAATAATAGAAGAAATCCCATAGAGAGGGAGGATTTAAAGACAGACTGGAGTCTGTAAGAATAAAATACTGTTGCATACCAGTAATAGTAGTAGTATAATAGTAATAGTATACTAGTAATAGTATAATATAGTGTAGAAGTAATAGTACAGAGTACTAATAGTATTGTAGTAGAATATAGATTAGAGAAAATTGTATCATTAGTAATAGAAATAGTGGAGGATAAAATAATAGCCATAGAAAGAACTTACACATATATGTTTGTATATTTCACTTTTGTATCTTGGATAGTGCTTTTCAAAATAAAATGTTTCCCCACCTTTTATAGGGAGATATAAAAATCCAAATGTCTAGGGTCCAGTGTTTTTGGTGGATCTTTTGAATCTGAGCCAATCAAATTGGATATAGTTACAAAAAACACCTGTGACAACATGCACAAAGCTGGGACATTCATACTCATATTATCCCAAATAAATAAAATAATGTCGTCATTTCTTCATCATCATGGTTACCTATGGGGATCTTTGCTCTCAGCATGCATCTTCTGTTGAAACTTCATGTTATTTGGTTGAACCTGGCTTCAAAATAAAGCCAGAAGACTCTCACACAAAATAATATAACAACAACAATAATTCATATGTAATTACCCTCAGAATTAATTAGTTTTGTCCAAGCTCTGAACTAAAAGATTGGTAGGTTCTAGTCAATTATCTTGGAATAGCCAAAGGTAGCAATATATGGTCCTCCAAATATTGTTGTGTCACAACTCTCCTCATCCCTTACCACTGATCATACTGGCTAGGTCTGATGGGTGTTGGAGTTCTACAACATCTGGAGGACCTGATGTTGGCTGTCCTTGAGCTCAGGAAACAGACTAGAAAGTCTCTGCATTAGGAGCTAATAATAATACTTTGACATTTCTATGAGATAATTGATTACATCACCATGAAGGTAGCACATCCGGGTTTCTGGAAGCTTCTTTATCAGGTGGCCCATAAAAAATTCACTTCCAAAGTCCTCAGGATGCACAAATGCTCCATACTTCAGAAATCCCACCTCATAGGGAGTGAACTCTAGCCATTCTAGGAAAAGAGTAAGGAAAAAAGATTACCAGAGCACTCCTAATTGTAAACAAGTGTAAACAAACCTGCAAAACAAAAGTAATTTTCATCATGCAAAGAGGGAGAACATTTGGGTATAGAAAGCTTAAATTGCTTCTCTCTACTTTATCCTTCTACCGGCAGGCAGAAAAATTTTCATTGAGACAGGACTTTGATGTGTAAACAGTTTTGCTGGTGAAACTAGAGCATGTCGAGTGTTCTGGTTCCTATTATTTCTGGATGCATTTTAATGACATCAATGTTTTAATTTTTTAATCAGACCTTGATCACTGTCTATTGGTGGAACATCAGGATATAAATCTAGAATAAAATTAAGTCCCCGAATCATCTTGTTGCATTGACTGCATCCAAGGAGTTATGGGAGAGGATAAACTATATTCTGTCAAGTCCTGTGGGAAATCACAAAAATTATATATTGAACACACACACAAACCAACAAAATGGAACTGGAATACTTTGGTTAAACATCACACTAAACGACTGAAGCTTGGTTGGTTAATTTGGGCCAGTCATCCTCTGTCAACCAACCTACTTTACAGAATTATTATAGACATAATTAGAGAGAAGATAAGCTGCCTTGAGCTATGGAATACTCAAATACTTAAATGTATTTAAGTTTATTTAAATTTTAAATAAAATTAAAGTGCATTGCTTTGTTGTTTGTTGTCTATAGTCACTTGGGTCATGGAAGGAGCTTATAAATTAAACAAATAAAAATTTTAAAAATAAGTGGGATATAAAGCTTACAAACAAAACAATGAAAAGTAAACCAACTTGGGTTTTGAATTTGTTCTTGGTTCTTAGTAACAAAATAGAATTTCTCATTGAACATTTTTTAAACCCAAATTTCAAATGAAAGGGCTCTTTCTTTTCTTTCATGCACGCATGTACACATGCACAGTTAAATGGATGAGCTTATATGAGAATATAAGTTATATTTATTTACTCAGTTTACTTAGGAAAGGAAAGGCTGAAATATGATCATGGGATTTTTTGTTTGTTTCCTCTTTAATCAGTGGAACCATACCTTTCTGAAATACAAATATGCAAAAGTATATTTGAAAATATTTGCTGTTTTAATGCTCTGTCACAAAGGATTGCAGCCAGAGATAAACAAAATCTTATAAACAATTACTTGAGAGTAAACCATGTTGAGAAAGCCAATTTAGTGTAGTGGTTAAGGCATCAGGCTAGAAACCTGGAGACCATGAGTTCTAGTTCTGCCTTAGGCACAAAACCAGCTGGGTGACCTTGGGCTAGTCACTCTCTCTCAGCCCTCAGAAGAAGGTAATGGCAAATTACTTCTGAAAATATTGCCAGGAAAACTGCAAGGACTTGCTCAGGAAGCAAGTGAAGTCTGACTCAAAAGTACAAAACATAAACAACCCCCCCCCCCCATTATACTGAATTCAGCTTCTAAATATATATCAGTAGAATGCATCTGCAAAAGCCTTCACATATGTGGAACTAATTGTGCAAAATTTGGATTTCCAGCCTTTATTTTTAGATCACTTGTCTAAAACTTCAGCAAAGAAAACAGCAGTTCATCCTATCAAATAAGCTTCGTTACAAATGCATAAGGGAGTTAGGATGATTTATATTTCACAAAGCAAAAATACAATATATATATAATCAGTAATAATCAGATTTAAAGATTTTGGGGATTTTTATTTAAAATTTTAATATTTAATTTTTTAAAAATTTGATTCCATAGATGTTAATATTGGCAATGCTATGGCAGCCAGATACAATGCTAGATTTCTATAGAGAGTAGATTTTAATAAACAAAGTCTACCCTCATATAACTATTCTCTGAAAGTCAGACTTGACTCCTGATGATTTCATGGATTATCTGTGTAACTTTATTGGCAACAAAACTGAAGTGGTTTGCCATTGCTTTCTTCTAGGATTTAGTTTATTTTGCAGCCTAGTCTACAATTCTGGGATCTCCTGATGCCCTCCCATTCAAGTATTGACCAGGTTTTATTCGGCTTAGCTACTTGGAGATCATCCAAGGTTGGTTAGATGCTGCCATCTATACTGATAACCAGGAGATGTGATCCTATCATTCATATTTTATGGTTCCAAATAGATTTAAATGCAAAGCTCATATTGTTACCAATAAAAAACATTCTGTCTCTTTAGTCTTTCTAGTCACCTTTGAAGTCTTGAGTGCTGTAATTTTCCTTGATGTTGATAGTTACATAGATGGGCAGGGGGTTTTGACCATCTACCAAAGCTTCTTTCTGATCTGAGAGCCTGTGGTTATCTTTCTAATGGTGAAGGAGAAAAAGTATTAACTGGAAAGCCATGGAATAGATACATAAAGTAACAACTGGAAAATCATCTTAATGTTTAAATCAAAACTCATCATAAGATAAACCTAAGTATAACAACTGAACATGAGTGAATAAAACAGAAGCTGAAATGAGCAAAGGATTTTCCTCAGTATGATAAGCAATGACATAGTTGCTTGATATAATCTTGGGTTCCTGCAACCCAAATTAATTGATTTAGTATTAATGCAATAGAACATTTATTTCCAAAGTTTACCAAATATTGGTAGATCTATATTAGCACTGGAATTCTAATGACTGTATTATCACAAGATTAATCTTTATAGCAGGTATCCGTAATTCTTAGGAAAAGAAAAATAGTATTTTAAACTATACCCCATCATTTAACAAATACTCTATGACGAGTCCCCAGAGATCTATAAAAGTTGTCTTGTAGCCCTCCTGTTTCCTTTGATTCAACTGCTGATAGTAGTATTTCATACGGTTCATAGTAAACATTTCCATCTTGCTTTTGGTCACTTGTTTCTTAGCCTCATGTATTTTTTCAGCTAGATCTTTCTGGGACCAGTAAGAATCCCTATATAGGTGTGCCAAGGCCCTGAAGAGACACAATACAACCAATGAGAAGCAAGCCAGTAATACTGTAATGAGTAATGAGTAATGAGTAATGAGAAGCAAGCCAGTAATACTGTATAAAACACTACTCTGAGACGAGCAAAATAGCAATACATTCCTATTTTCTCTACAGTGTTTCCTCAGTTAAATTCTCATTAGATTTATGCCAACTCCATACTGTTTTTATAGATGTGGCTGAATGTTAGGAAAACAACTTTCCATCTGTAAGAGCAACTCACCAGAAGAACCAATTACCAGTGATGAGTTCTCTTCACTGGATATATTCAGTGAGAGTCTGATTGAAGTTTTTAATATGGTTTCCTACACTAAATGTCCCCTTTCAACTGGATGACTGGCCTACCACAGCTCCATATAAACTTCAATAGTTCTGAATGAGCCAGCCATAAAATACAGTAACACATGTTTCAGACTTACAAAATTGTTCTCTATGATGCTGCTGATGCTTTTAGGAATACTTAAATGGTTTACAAACATATAAACAAAGACAAATGATAAAGGGTATTTGAGAACATCTACAAGATTACATAGTGGCATATATACCTAGTAAGTTGAAAATTACCAGTATAAAAACACAGATTTGGTTTTAAACATGCATAAACACAAATATATCCACATTTGATTATTTTATTTTATATTTATTTATTTATTTATTATTAAATTTGTATGCCACCCATCTCCCCCAACAGGTGACTCTGGGC